AGGCAGTGCCCTCAAGAAATTAAAAATTGTCCTTGACTCCTTAGCTAATGTAGTGTGAGATAATAGACCAGCTCTGGACTACTTGTTAGCAGAAGGAGGGGGGAATCTGTGTAATAACTAATACTTCATGTTGTACCTGGGGTAATAATACCTCAGATGAAGTAGAAGTGGATATTAAAAAACTCTTTGATCAGGGGGCTTGACTGCGTACCTTCGACCAGAGGAGGATCTTCCGATTAAGTCTGGCCGACTATCAAATGGCACGACCCAGTATCACAAATCTCCTCTCTTTCCTGCGGCCACTAATAATCCCGCGACTCATTACTTTTTGGACCTGCATACTTACCTGTTTGGTACAGTTTGTGACCAAGCATACAGAGGCCATACAATTACAGATGGTGGTAACGCAAGGATATGAACAGCTCAGAGCTGAGCCTGGTGACTCACATATCTCAGACTAGTTAGAAAGAGGTTCTGCACCTCTGCTGATTCCCACGATGATGCCCACATCCAGCAGGAAGTAACTACAGAAGATGATCCATTGTCCCATGCCCCCTCAAGAATGAGAAGCAGAATAAAACTCGAGAAGGGATTTTGTCACCAATGAGATGTCCTAGACTCAGGAAACTCCTTCTCCATAGGCAGAAGCTTCTGCCTATGAATTTTATCTTTTAGAAACTAACTAATGAATTGCTGGAACAGGAAAAGAAACCTTTTGAACACCAACTCCAGGAGAGTGATCATCATCATCATCATCAGAAAGTAAGTGCTGGTAAGAATTAATAAGATAAATAATTATTAAGAAAATAAGTGCTGGAGCCAAACTGTGGAAAGAGCCAAGATGTCCATCGACAGATGATGGATAAAGAAGAGGTGGTATATATATACAATGGAATATTATGCAGCCATCAAAAGGAATGAGATCTTGCCATTTGCAACGACGTGGATGGAACTGGAGGGTATTATGTTGAGCGAAATAAGTCAAACAGAGAAAGACATGTATCATATGACCTCACTGATATGAGGAATTCTTAATCGCAGGAAAAAAACTGAGGGTTGCTGGAGTGGGGGGTGGGGTGGGAGGGATGGAGTGACTGGGTGATAGACACTGGGGAGGGTATGTGCTCTGGTAAGCGCTGTGAATTGTGCAAGACTGTTGAATCTCAGATCTGTACCTCTGAAACAAATAATGCAATATATGTTAAGGAAAAAAAAGAAGAAGAAGAAGGTAGCAGGAGGGGAAGAATGAAGGGGGGGAATCGGAGGGGTAGACGAACCATGAGAGACGATGGACTCTGAAAAACAAACAGGGTTCTAGAGGGGAGGGGGGTGGGAGGATGGGTTAGCCTGGTGATGGGTATTGAGGAGGGCACGTTCTGCATGGAGCACTGGGTGTTATGCACAAACAATGAATCATGGAACACTACATCTAAAACTAATGATGTAATGTATGGGGATTAACATAAGAATAAAAAAATAAAAATAAATTAAAAAATAAAAAAAAAGAAAAGAAGTGCTGGAGAAATTAAAACCTTCATACATTGCTGGTCAGAATGTAAACTGGATCAGCCACTGTAGAAAACTATTTGTGACTCCTCAGAAGATTAATCCTAGAATTATCATATGATCCAGAATTGGATCAGAATTGAAAACAGGTACTCAAGCAAATACTTGCATGCAAATCTTCATCACAGCACCATTTACAAGAGCCAAAAGGTGGAAACAAGCCAAGTGTTCATCTATATAGATGAGTGGATAAATAAAATGTGGTACACACACACACACGGAGTATTATTGAACAATAAGAAGAAATAAAGCGCTGATACATGATACCATATGATGGAACCTCAAAAACATTATGCTAAGTGAAAGAAGTCAGACACAAAGGTCACACATCATACCATTTCACTGGTATGAAATGTCCAGAATAGGTAAACCCACAGAGACAAAAAGCTAGTTGGTATTTGCAAGGGGTGAGCGGGGCTTGGGGGGAGGGGCAAATGGGAAATTACTGCTTAATGGACATAGAGTCTTGTTTTGGGGTGATAAAATGTTTTGGAATGATAAAAGTGGTGGTTGCACAACACTGTGAATGTACTAAATGCTACTGAATTACATACTTTACAATTATTATTTTATGTTTTGTGAATTTTACCTTAATGGAAGAAAGAAAGAAAATCTGCCTGTAGGTGGAGACCCAGCTGAGGCTAGATGGGCATTGGGAGGCTGGAAGCTGAGGGGCACGGGAGGCTGGAGGTCACATGGGACAGACCACGACTCTGAGAAGTGGAAAAGTACAGTTGTCCTTGAGGATAATGTCAAAATGCAAAACAACTCCTTGCCCGTGGTGAGCAACAATAAAGAGGAACAATAAACATTGGAAGGTGTGGATGGTGGGTAAGAGAAGTAGCTAACACTGCCCCCGAGGAAGGGAGCCGTTGGATACAATCTCTTAGCAGAAAAGTTTTGACTCAGGACCTCAGAATCATATGGCTAACTCACATGGATTGGCTCGGCCTATGCTTGCAGGCACTTCTCTCCTCAACATTAGAATACCCATATCTGCTTCTGGCAAATATACGCAGAGAGTTAGTCCCTATTTCTCCCTCCCTTCAACCCCAATATGACTAGAATCCCGTGAAATCTAGATCCTTGCTACTCAGTGTGTGGTCCACGGAGCAACACTGGGGTTACCAGGGAGCTTATTATGAATGCAGAATATTTGTCCGCATTCAGAAGCAGTATTATAAGACTCCCTAGTAATTTGTATGCATGTCAATGCTTGATAAGTTTCCATCTAGGAAGAATAAAACGGAGAAACTAATGAAATTTATTTTCTCCAGGGCATGATGATGCCCGATTCGGGTTATACCTACGGGAATTATTTCTCAATATGGTTTATCTTTTCAGCTAACTTTTTTTAAAAAATAGCAAGTTACAGTGTCTGACCCACTGGAAAGAAGTTTGGATGGCATGAGTCATCTTCCTTCATGCTTGTTTTCAAAATTGACTTGATTTGTGCCAGATCCTTGCCTCAGCAGATTCCTTTCCCTCCCTCAAACTTCTGACCCCAAGCAAAGCAGATCCCCTTGTTTTTCTGTTTCATGGTACCCTGCTGATTTTCTTCCTGGTGTCACGTTTTGTAATTATATATACATTCAATTATATGAATGTAGCTATGTGTAAACTAAGTAGCATAGCCAGGTGATTATGAGCACGGACTCTGGAGCCAGGCTCCCTGATGTCCAACCTTGGCAATCATTGCTCCTCTCCTGGGCTTCAGAACACCTGCAAATGCATTCCCATGTGTTTCTTTTTACGGTCCCACCCCAACCCATAATTGTGTGACACGAAGCACGTTACTTAAGTGTCATGTGCCTTCTTTCCTCCTCCCTGAAGTGGGAATAAGGACAGTGTCTATTTCATAGGGTATTTACGAGAGGGATCGATGGAAATGGGGAGGAACAGGGGAATTTTAACCTGAGCACATTCAGAATATTTCATTTTAGGGTGGGTTCGGTTTTGTCAGAGGTAAAAGTGAGGCAAAGATGCAGGGCTTTGCCACCAAGCCAGGGAGTGGCTCTCGAATATATGAACAAATTCTCCCTCTTTCTGCACCTTACCCATATTGCCCAGGGTTCTGTCCTCCTTGCACTTTCTCCTTAGCTTTGTTTATTAGTTCCGTGCCATGACTCCCAAGCCTCCAGCCCCTAGACCTCAATTCCCAGCTGCTCTCTGGAAATCTTCTCATGGATATCACACTGATGTCTTAAAATCAGTAGGTCCCAAACTGAACTCACCTTCTCCATGGCTGCTCCCTCCTCCCCTCCCCTTTTTCACCCAATTTCACCACCTTTGGCTACTCTGTCTGAAATTTCCCTGCCCCTTCCACCGTACTTCATACCCTCCTTCCCTGCTTGCCTTAGTTATCATCGATTTCTGTGCAATATGCCATTTCACTTATTCATCTTGTTTCCCCTGCTCAAATGAACTCGGTAAGGATGGGGGTTTTTGCCTGCTTTGATCACAATACTCCCCAGAAAGTAGAAAACCAACCAGCCTTTCCCCTCACTCCTGCTGCCAGTCAATCTAGTTAATTCTACATCTGTGGTGACTCTCTCACTTCTGTCTTTTCTCTTGTGCTAGGGCTGTGCTTGGTCTCAGAAATGTTGCAACTGTTACAAGAGCTTTCCACCTGCTAGCTAATGAAATTTGGGCAAGTTCTTTAAATCATCTTGGCTCCTCATTTTAAAATGGGGTCAATATAGTACAAACTCCCAGGCCAGTCCTGAGGCTTACGTATATAATGCATGTGCAGCACTTCGCCCAGGGCCCAGAACAGAATACCTTCATGTTTTCCATGTATAATGGACAGGGGGAACCGTTCCTTTCTCTGTGGCACCTAAAGTCCTGTTGGACTGCCCAGACCCTGGTTTGCATGAGAGGATGGGAGATGTCTCTTTTTACAGTAAGCAAAAACTAAGAGGACTATTCTAGTGTCGTCTCTGTGCCCAGAAATTGTGGGTACGCTGAGCCATAGATCTTCAATCTTTTCAATAAGGATAGTGAGGTTCAGGCAGAATCAGTAACCTACCTGAGGTTCCAGAGCAAGATAGTAGCTAATTTGGGAAGAGAACTCACTCTCCTAATCTCAGGACTCTTCATACCACAGCATGCTGGTTGTAAAGCCCAAGTAGTCTGGTCTTAGAAGAAGTTCACCTCCCATGCCCCGCAGAGACTTCCCTCAAAGGCAGACACAGGTGAAACCGTGTCTTAAATACATATAAATCTTAAAATTTTTTAAGTGTGAAGGAGCGAGGGCACCTCATGTGCTAAATTGAGAGGAGGTGGCAGTTTCTCAGGCACAACCGAGAGTGTCCCCCCCCCCCCCGTCCGATGGCAGAGACAGACAGACAATATGCGCAAGTGACTTAGATCGAGCAAGCAGCACAAAACCAGGGCGTCAGTGAGTGGCTACCTGAATCTGCTGCAGCATTTACCTGGGCTGAAGGAGAAGACAAGCGTGAGGGGCAGAAGCAACCAGAGCATGCTGTCAGCGGCAGAGGCTGGTGCTGGTGGCCTCCCGGTGCCTGGCGTCTGCTCTTCTCTGCTCTGTCATAGATGAGGTTGGTTCTCACAGAGACTTCCCCTTCCTCTCAGAGGTGTGGTAAGCCCTCTGACCACATGCTGCAGGCCTGATTTTATTACTACTCCCTTTACTTTTTTTTCTGAGCGAAGCACAAAGAACTTAAGTGTGCACTGTGAATTGGCATTTTCGTTTTCCATCTAGATTCTTTTCTCATTTTTTGTTTTTTTTTGTGTGTGGTGAAATGGCCTAAATGACATGTCGTGGTGTTGTAAGCTGAAAGTTACTGTTTTAGGGGCGCCTGGGCGGCTCAGATGGTTAAGCGTCTGTCTTTGGCTCTCAGGTCGTGATCTCCGGGTCCTAGGATCGAGCCCCACGTCGGGAGTCTGCCTGTCTCCCCACTCCCTGCCATGCTCGTTCTCTCTCTCTCAAATGAATAAATAAAATATATTTTTTAAAATTACTGTTTTAACTGTTCAATTCAGTGAACCAACATTACAGGCATACCTTGTTTTATTGCGCTGCACTTTATTGAGCATTGCAGACATTGTGCTTTTTACAAACCGAAGTTGTGGGGGAACCCTGGGTCGAGCAAGTCTCTTGGCACCATTTTTCCAACACTTACTTGCTTTGTGCCACATCTGGGCAATGCTCACAATATTTCAAAGTTTTTCATTATTATTATATTTTTACGGTGATCTGTGATCACTGATCTTTGATGTTACTATTTTTTTTTAAAGATTTTTATGTATTTACTTGTGAGAGAGAAAGAGAGCATGAGAGAGGGGAGAGGCAGAGGGAGAACCAGAATCCGGCCGGGAGCCCGATGCGAGGCTCGATCCCAGAACTCTGGGATCATGACCTGAGCTGAAGGTGGACGCTTAACCTCCTGAGCCACCCAGGCGCCCCTGATGTTACTACTGTAATTGTCTGGGGGCTCTGTGAGCCACTCCCGTATAAGATGGTGAACTTAATCGATAGATATGTGTGTGCTGATTTTCCCACCGACGGCCATTCCTCCGTCTCTCTCCCTCTCCTCGGGCCTCCCTATTCCCTGCGACACAACAGTATTGAAATTAGGCCAGTTAATAATCCTACGACGAACGGCCCCTAAGTGTTCAGGTAAAAGGAAGAATCACACATCCATTGCTTTAAATCGAAACCTGGCAGGGATTAAGCGTAGTGAGGAAAGCATGTCCAAAGCTGAGACAGACTGAAAGCCTAGGCCTCTTGCACCAGTGAGCCAAGTTGTGAATGCAAAGGAAAACTTGTTGGAGGAAATTAAAAGTGCTATTCCAGTGAACGCACAGGACGATGAGAAAGCTAACTGGTCTGTTGCTGATGTGGAGAAAGTCTGCGTGGTCTGGACCTTCTTTACCTGCCTTTTTTTTTTTTTTTTAAGATTTTATTTATTTATTTGAGAGAGAGGATGAGAGGAGAGAGAGCACATGAGATGTGGGAGGGTCAGAGGGAGAAGCAGACTCCCTGCCGAGCAGGGAGCCCGATGCGGGACTCGATCCCGGGACTCCAGGATCATGACCTGAGCCGAAGGCAGTCGCTTAACCAACTGAGCCACCCAGGCGCCCTCTTTACCTGCCTTTTATCTTCTGTTCAAAACCATGCTCACCTTGAAACTAGGGATCGTTTGGTTGTATCTGCAAGTCTGTCACGGTACATAGTACAATTTCACATACAAGATATCATCTCCTTGGAAAACTTTCCCAAACCTCCTGAAAACCGGGTGAAGTGATTTGCTCTTCTTATTCAAATCATAGCATTTCTCACATGGTTCAGAATGTTTCCTTGGCCTCTCTTCTTTATTTCTTTATAATTTAATTGAGGACACGAAATGGGTTGATTACCATTCTTTTTTTTTTTTTTTTTTTTTAGATTTTATTTATTTTTTTGACAGAGAGAGATATAGCGAGAGCAGGAACACAAACAGGGGGAGCGGGACAGGGAGAAGCAGGCTTCCCGCAGAGCAGGGAGCCCGATGTGGGACTCGATCCCAGGACCCTGGGATCATGACCTGAGCCCAGGGCAGACGCTTAACGACTGAGCCACCCAGGCGCCCAAGATATTATTTATTTATTTGACACAGAGAGACACAGCGAGAGAGGGAACACAAGCAGGAGGAGCGGGAGAGGGAGAAGCAGGCTTCCCGCAGAGCAGGAAGCCCGATGCGGGGCTTGATCCCAGGACCCCGGGATCATGACCTGAGCCGAAGGCAGACACTTAACGACTGAGCCACCCAGGTGCCCCTCTTCTTTATTTCTTTATAATTTAATTGAGGACACGAAATGGGTTGATTACCATTCTTACCCACAGCCTAACACAGTACCTAGGACTATAACAGACACTCAGTAAATATGAAGTTAATGAGTAAATGCAATGCAATGTATTCCTATGTAAGGGCTACAACAATATGTTCTTTTTTCTTTTTTTTTAATTGAAGCGTTGTTGACTATATTGACTATAATTGACTATAAAACCAGTATTATTAAGGGCGCCGGGGTGGCTCAGTCGGTTAAGCGCCCAACTCTTGATTTCAGCTCAGGTCATGATCTCAGGGTTGTGAGATTCAGCCCCGCATCCGGCCGGCTCCTTGCTCAGCGTGGAGTCTACTTGAGATTCTTTCCCTCTGCCCCTCTCCCCGTGCTCTCTCTCTCAAATGCATAAATAATCTTAAAAAAATAAAATAAAACTGGTATTATTAGTGTCAGGTGTACGACATAGTGATTCCACATTTATAGGCATTATGAGATGCTCACCACTGTAAGTATAGTTACTGCCTGTCGTCGCACAAGGTTAGCACAATTTATTGGCTATGTTTCTTCTTTTTAAAGATTTATTTATTTATTTGAGAGAGAGAGCGAGCACGCAAGCAGGGGAGGAGCAGAGGGAGAGGGAGGAGAGAAGCAGACTTCCCGCTGAGTGCAGAGCCTAAAGCAGGGCTCAATCCCATGACCCTGAGATCATGACCTGAGCTGAGATCAAGAGTTGGACGCTCAACCGACTGAGCCACCCAGGGGCCCCTATTGACTATATTTCTTATGCTGTACTTTTCATTCCCGTGACTTAGAACTGGAGGTTCGTATGTCTTGATCCCATTCACCTATTTCACTCATGTCCCTACCCCCTTCCCTCTGGCAACCACCAGTTTGTTCTCTGTATTTATCAGCCTGTTTTTGTTTGTTTGTTTTGTTTTTTTAGATTACATGTATAAGTGAAATCATATGGTATTTATCCCTCCCTGTCTGACTTATTTCACTGAGCCTAATACCCTTTTGGTCCATCCATGTTCTTGCAAATGGCAAGATTTCATTCATTTTTATGACTGAGTAATATCCAATTATATATGTCACATTTTTTATCCATTCATCTATCAGTGGATGTTCACTTCTATATCTTGGTTATTGTAAATAATTCTGCAATAAATGTAGAAGTGTTTTAAACTAGTGTTTTTGTTTCCTTTGGATAAATATCCAGAAATGGAATAGCTGGACCATATGGTATTTCTATTCTTAATTTTTTTGAGGAACCTCCAAACTGTTTTCCATGGTGGCTACACCAGTCTACATTCCCACCAACAGTCATGAGGGTTCCCTTTCTTCCACATCCTCAACAATACTTGTTAGTTCTTGTCTTCTGTTACTAGTCACTCTGACTGGTGTGAGGCAACATCTCATTGTGGTTTTGATTTGTTTTTCCCTGCTGATTAGTGATGTTGAGCATCTTTTCACGTGTCCAGTGGCTATCTGTATGTCTTCTTTAGAAAAATGTCTACTCGGGGTGTTGGGCTGGGCATGTGTGAAATAGGTGAAGGGGTTTGAGTACACTTACCATGATGAGCATTGAGTAATGTGCGGAATTGTTGAGTCACTGTATTGGACATCTGAAACTAATATAACACGGTATGTTAACTATACAGGAATTAAAATAAAAACATTTTTGAAAGTAACAAAATATCGTGAATTAATAGAGCATCCCTTTATGTTCCCCCATTCCCAGAGGCAACCACAGTCTTGAATTTGGTTGTTCTCCACATGTTATTTAAATTGTTTACACATTGTGTGTGTTTGTGTGTGTGTATAAGAGGCAACAATAAAATGCCTCAGTTGGAGAAAGGATAAAGAAGAAAAAGAAAAAAAAGAAAAATGTCTATTCATGGGGCGCCTGGGTGGCTCAGTTGGTTAAGCATCTGCCTTTGGCTCAGGTCATGATCCCAGGATCCTGGAATTGAGCCCCTCATGGGGCTCCCTGATCCATGGGGAGCCTGCTTCTCCCTCTCTCTCTGCCTGCCGCTCCCCCTGCTTGTGCTCTCTCTCTCTGTCAGATAAATAAATAAAATCTTTAAAAAAATGTCTATTCAGGAGCAGGATAGCCATAAAGTGTGCAGAGCATGGATGCTCTCGTGTGTAGGTGCGTGTCTGTTTCTCTAGCAAGGGTGAGACCACAGCCTCGTCCTTCGCTCACCATTGGACTGTGACCACTGTAAAACTCTCAGGGCTCCACGTGCCACCCAGGGAGGTGGCATTAAGACATGCTTCTACTCAGAGGAGCCACGAAAGGGAACCTTCCCGGAAAGTGGAAGCGCACGGTCATTGGAAGTATAAATGTGGCGACTCCAGTGTGGTCCAAGTGTGTGTATCCTGTGACCCAGCGAGTCCATGCCCTAGGGAAACCTTGTGTGTGTGTACCCAGAGCCACGCACAGCGACCTGCGTTAACAGCACGGAAAATGTGGCACATCCACACCTGTGTGCCTCTGAAACAAGACTGGGCAGCAAACAACACAGAAAAAGACAAGAGTAGGATTCCATTCATATACAATTCCAGTGCAGGCAAAACCAAACAACAGTGTTTAAGGATGAGTCCATTCTGTGGTCAAGCTATAAAGAAATCAAGGGCATGACTAACGAATCGGGACAGCAATTCCCCGTGGATGGGGAGGGCACAGGGATAAGACCGGGGGCTCAGGGGAACAAGTATTGTGTTCCCTTCCCCACGTTATATACTTATGTGTGCTCCACTTAAAATTTTAATT